AGAGTGTGTGTGAGAGTGTGTGTGTGTATGAGTGTGTGTGTGTATGAGTGTGTGCGTGCATGTGTGTGTGTGTGTGTGTGTGTGAGAGAGTGTGTGTGTGTGAGAGAGTGTGTGTGTATGAGTGTGTGTGTGTATGAGTGTGTGCGTGCATGTGTGTGTGTGTGTGTGTGTGTGAGATGCGTGCATGTGTGTGTGTGTGTGAGAGAGTGTGTGTGTGTTAGAGAGTGTGTGTGTGTGTGAGAGAGTGTGTGTGTATGAGTGTGTGCGTGCATGTGTGTGTGTGTCTGTGCGTGTGTGTTGATGTCTGAGCAATGATGACAGTGTTTAGCACCTGAAGTACATGAGTAACGCGTGTATGGTAATGAAGGTCTCTACACTTGAACTGAGCTCAGGACATGAAGTGTTTCAGTGTGTGTTTGTACAGTCACGCTGTGTAAACCACTCTCTGCTCTCTGTGCTGTTGATCCAGACTCTCTCTCGTCCACTACGGTCTCCACAGGAAGCTACTCCACTAGTGACCATGAGCCTAGCTCCGCTGTGTCCGCTGTGTTCGATCATTCAGAGTTTGTTCTGGAAGATGAATCCGGATCTGTGTGTTTGTGGAGCAGAGCTCATGTCTGCATCTCTCTCTCAGAAGCTGTTCCTGTCACATGACCGCTGGCCAGGCACCGGAACCGAGCAGATCATAGATGCATACAGCAACGAGATGAGCGCTTTCCTGAGACACGCAGCAGGGACTGCAGGTAAGCGTGTCGTTGGTTTATTTTAGGGCTGGACCATATGGAAAAAAATTAAAATCTCAATTTTTTCAGAACATTTGACAGATTCTTGAATAGACAGACGCGATGCGATTTAAAGCCATTTGTGCATTTTGAGAGAAATTTAAATAAATAAAATTATATCGGCACCGGCTGTCAAAAAACCCATATCGGTCGACCACTAGTAAGAAGGCCAGTCTTGTGATTTTGGGTCCAACCGTTCAGAAGTGTGATGGTTAATTTCCCATATCTCCAATAGGTGGTGAGAGTGAATGCTTTTCCACGCATCCCGTATAAGAGGTGAATACTGTATTATATTTGGCGGAAGAATTGCATTGTATTCTGTATTTGAAGTGCTTTACTGCTCCAGTGAAATATCCAGAAAGTCAGCAAAGAGTGCTTCCTTTATATCACTTTTATTCAAATTGTAAATGCATTATATTTTATGCTGCTTATATTTTAAATGCAGTTTAAATGCTGTTTTTTTTGGACCACATAAAAGCAGAAAAATGAGTGCGCCATGTGCTGAGGACCGAAATTACTCTGTGCACGAGACGAGCAGAACATTTACAAGCACAGCATACTTTGTGCTGAAGAGTCTTATTCTTTCTCCAGGTGTTTTCCAGCCGGTATAGCCTCATCCAGACATCGACTCTTCCTCTTCCTCTTCATCATCGAGAAATGCAGTGTGAGATGATCAGAGCACTAGAGCTCAGGTACCGTGTGTTTCTAATTCTCCTGACTCTGTTGCTCTCATGTTTCCATGCTAATCTGTGCTGGATCCTGTCAGGGCTGGAGCGAGACTGTAGACCGGGTCTGTGAGGGGCTCTCCGATCAGTTATCCATCAGACCGAGCGAGCAGGGTCACAGCACCACGCCTGCTGGTCCATCTCATCATGATCAGGGGCCTCATTTATAACAAAACCTGCCCTGAAAGAGCCGTACGCCACTTCCTGCGCAAAAGGTGGGATTTATAAAAACAAACTGTGAGAAGAAGACAACTGTTGGTGCGATTATTCGGCAATGGAAGAAATACAAAACCACAATCAGTCGGCCTCGGTCTGGAGCTCTGAGCAAGATCTCGCCTCATGGGGTAAGGATGATCATGAGAAAGGTGAGGGATCAGCCCCTCGATATACACATTTACATTAAATATTCCACTCTCATTAATGGAGATAAGCACTGAAATTACATAAAGTCATTACGCAGAACTTAAACCAAAATTATATGAATTTAGACAGCCTGTTAGTGAGAACAATGATCAATGATGCGCACTTACAGTGGGAGAAATATTTATTTGATCCCCTGCTGATTTTGTAAGTTTGCCCACTTACAAAGAAATTAAGGGTCTGTAATTGTTATGGTAGGTTTATTTTAACGGATAGAGACAGAATACCAACCAAAAATCCAGAAAAAACACATTATATAAAGGTTAGAGATTGATTTGCATTTCAGTGAGTGAAATAAGTATTTGATCCCCAAGCAAAACATCACTTAGTACTTGGTGCAGAAACCCTTGTTGGCAAGCACAGAGGTA